CCGCACCCCATATTCTTTCGCCAGATACCCGTAGGAATTCGCCAGAGGCTCGTACTTTTTTCGCTCAATGTATTGTAAAAGAGGACGTTACAGCTGTGCTAGGTTCAGAGCTTTATTTCCCTGTGCATTTTTTATGTATGAGTTTTGTATTTCCTCGCTGTCGTTTCCAGCGGCCTTCTCTTCTACCAGAGGAATAAACTGGATGAAGCGGAGGCATGCTACGTGGAAATTTGTTTTTAAACCCTTCCATACTTCTATGACGACTGAATCTTAGCTGCACGGCTATATTGATGAGGCAGTTAGACTCGCACATGACCTCATCTGCTTCAGACTCGACAAATCTAATCATGGTATCTGCTAGATTCGCTTTCAGTAGAAAAGGTGTTATCTATCTTATCTTCCAATCATCGTCATCGTCGCATAATTGTTGTCACCTGACTTCACTGTTGGCGAACGCACCACAAAATGGGTCGACGCTCTTCCAGTCTCTTCTTGTCTTGAGCGTTTTTTCTCGAAGTGGCAGCCAGCACCGCCATTTCAACTGCTAGTTTTTAATGCATTAATTCCTGGACTCTTATCAGCAGGGTTATCTTCCCTGTGCGGATTGAAGCAGGTTCGCTTTACTTAGCTAGCTTTTATTTACTTTGTTCTGCTTTCTATAACTGTCTAGTTGTTTGAATCTGAGAAATGCGTTATATTTACATGAGGAGAAATTTATTCGTTGTTTCTCTCGACTGTTGTTGGTTGTTCCAGACCCATTCGATTTGAACTCGCCACCCGAAACACCTTTGGTATTGTTGAAACAACCTCCAAATCCCCGTCTGCCTGTTCTATCGCCATCATCCGTTGACGAATCTGGATCCTTCGTTTTCAAGACTTTTCCACGGCAGCGCTACTCGTCATTGAGTGGTAGTGCCGCAACTGAAGATCATCATCGCCGTGTCTCTGCCACTGATAAAGGCAAAACCGTTACGGCTGTTAAAAAGCCGTCGAATAAAACCAAGGACGACTTCAGGAAAAGTGGTCTCGTCACGAAGTCTTCCGATGAAAACTGTTCGCCTTCGGGAGACAGAAATCTGGTTTCACCCGTTGACTACTTAACTGAACTGATTTTGGATCACGTGCGGTTTTTGCTGTCCAACTTTATGGTCTATGATCTGTTCAACATGGCCGCCCATTTGGATTTGGACGTGAGCGTTTGGCTGAATAAGGAAAGGTAGGATACAGTATTGTGTTGTTCTTTGTACTTTTGTCCAGGCTGTATTTTCTTAGTTTGTGCAATGTATTGCTTACGCAGTAAGTGAATAAAATTGTAACACTTGATGGCCATGACTGCGATATAACGAAGATGTTCTTCACCGGGCTAAATCTCTGGACTCTCATCTGCCGGTTCTGCTTAATGATGATGACGACAACCACGATGATGATCACGAACGGTTTTTTGTTTGCATCATATCAAATCATTAGACCATCAGTCTTTATGTTGTGTAGTGTGATTCAGTTTTGCTCCACGCTGTTCGTGAAGGTAACGCCTTCGCTCTTTACACTGATTTGCTGAACGAGTTGTCGAACTGAGAGTAGACCCCATCTTACTACGAATAGTGTTTCTATTGTTGATCACTTGATTTGTTTCTTGACGACCTTCGTTCTTATTTTTTGATGCTTAGGAACAATTCGGCACGAGTTTCGAATTTTCCAGCGGCTCTTCGGCAGATGCACTTAGATTTTCATTGGCCATATCCGGTCAGCACCTCATCGGTGATCGAACACGTTAATCACAAGATCGGTAAATGCGATAACAACGGTGGCAACGGCAAAGGTAAATGCTTTTGCGATAACGTCGTCTGAAGCTTTGGTGTTTGACTCCTTGGTAGGATCTAAGGTTCAGTTAATTTCTGCTGTTTTTCAGATAACTATGTCAGTACACATCCGTCGATCGATTCTGGTATCCGAAGCCTCAACATTGCGAGCGATTCCGAATCGACACCGGAAGTTAACGGATTTGGAACAGCGTATCGCACCACTGGTGACGGTGCATTGCCTAGAGCCGACACGCTGCAGCCTCCCCTCTGTAGCAACGATAGCACTTGTGGAAAATGTGGCGACCTTGTTGCTTTGGCGACATCGTCGTTGAGCATCAACGATTGCACGGAAACTAACACCGAAGACAGCTGGTCTGTGGACCCAGATTTGTGCAGTCAGGTTGACCAGGACCTGGAAAGTTTAGAGTATTTTTGTGGCAATGTAGCACGCGGCTCAAGCGACTCCGAGGCGAAGCTGTGTCACATCAGACAGATAATGCTGGATTCGCTTTGTCTCGACTGGGTGTTGCTCACTTGTCTGGTCTTGAAAGACTTTGCTAGTCTGACGAAAGCACTGAATCTTCGGACGCTCACAGCTGTGGAAGCCAACGCTTTTTCCGGGTTAAAAAGCGGCGTTCTCCAGCTTGAATCATGGTCTGAAGCCTTCTGGTAAGAGTATGATGGGTAGTTCTTTCTCTGAATGTGAATATCATGTCTTCCGTAGGAAATCTGCAATACAATACAGTGTTTATGGGCATCAGTCCGACTAGGGTTGCTCTATCGATAGAGGGTCGAATTCTGAAGCGTTAGGTTCCGGCTGATCTGCCTCGACCTTGTTTTTCCATGTTGCTGCTGACCTCATGCTAGATGTCTTCCATGTTTCCGCTTCCACGCCATAAGCTGAAGGGTTAAAGTAAATTGCGTAACCTGTACCAATTTATCTAGCAGGGCCAATTTTTTTCTATCTCCACATCTGCATAAATCACCTGTACCCCGAAGAGAATAGAGCCATTCCTTGCATGGTCTTGCAATTTAGCCCTAATTATGCTGTATGCAGTTTAACCGTCGTTTTGGCTCTTTCGTTAAAACAGCTGTCTTCATGCCAACTTGACAGCAAAGAACAGTCGGATTTTAATATGGGGATAATTTTGCCACGATTGGATGCGCACTTTGAGGTCTACATGTCGCAGGGTAACTCTTTAATGTCCCTGCGTTAGGAATTACTGTGGGGAGTTTTTCTATCATTCCTCTTCCGCC